TTTTCTATATCTAAGACCTAATTGTGATTTGTTAAAAGGTGTACTTGATTTTAGACGAGTATTAGGTAATCATTTTCTGGCGCAGATGATGTATCACCTTAAAATATTTTATTTTATACAAAAATATTCAGTATAACACATAACTAAAACTCGTTTATCCAAACAATAAGTCATATTTCCAGAAAATCATCTTTTGTCAAGGTTGTTCAATTCTTCGCTGACCCAACACATGAGGGTTCTCCCTCTTACCCCACACCAACACATGCTTAAATTGTTGACATGATGTTTCATTTGCATGGTGCTTCTATAAAAAGCTTGGAATCTGGTCCTTATGGAAATGTCACTGGTGTTTAGCTTGAAAATGGATCTACCATTGAAGCAAATTTGGTGAATTTCACTGTTTGTTCTAATGGCTTCTTGATTAACCCTTAAGTGCATAAAAGGTAAAAAATGGGTGTGTTTCATTTCCCCTTGAGTGTATTAAAGGTTCTGGAGGGGTAGTTCCCAGCATATTAGTTTTATATAAGGAAATGTAATTTGAAGCTTATAAATTATACTCTTGTGATAAGTAAATTGGTATGATACATTGATACACATTTTTTTGTTTTTCACATTCAGGTTAAGTAATGGGGGCTTCGTGGTGAGATCAAAGAGGATGGAAAGCAAAAGGATGCAACTATTCAGAAGAGGATCTTGTCTCAAAACAAACCCTAGAAGTTGAGCATTTGAAGGGGGAGTTATCTTTAGGGTTACAGAGCATTATTCAGAAGTTTGGAGGTGAGGAGTATTCTGGAGTCAAGAAATCTGCTGTTGACGTGGCAGGACTGGTCCCAGTGTTAGAGAGGCTCGTTCAGGGTGTTGTTCTGGATAGTGAAAATTCAAGATTTAAATTGATGGAGACCCAAAGGGTAAAAGAGGAATTAACAAACAGGGTTAAATTGCTTGAAGATTATATTGAAAATAATAGGACAGGTGTACGGGATAAGATACAGGAAAGAGGGATCTTTGAACCTCCTTCATTGCCTACAGGTAACACATATATGGTTTTTTGTTAAATAAAGATGTTCAAGCATTGTGGAGGGTGTTATGTATGAGTTTCAAATAAGGGTTAAAAGTTTCCAAATTGATGATGACCAAAATACTAGTGATGAAGGAGAAAAGATTTCACTGAATTTGCGTCTTATCAAGCAAAAATCGAGGTAACCCCCACCCCCACCATTTCATGTGCAAAAGACAAGAATGCCCTTCTCATTAAACGAAAAAACCTAATTGATGTCTTTGTTTTGTAGGCAAGTAGGCAGTTAGAGATGCAAAAATCAATTAAAATGGCCTTAGAGGAAGCTAGTCACAAGGCCTCCAAACAAAAGGGCTTGATAACGAGCTATATCACATTCTTTTGTAACTATTATTTGTGTACAGTTTATAAAATGAGTAAGTTGGTTAGAATTGGAAAACTTACTGTTTTTGGAAATCTATTTTGGTGGTTGTTGTTCTTAACTTTGTTCTAAGATTCATATGATGCTCTAGCCATTTCAGTATTGTATATTGTAGGTTCGCTTAAAGTTACTTAAATTGGTTAAATACAAGAAATTGCAACAAAAAATAGTGACCTTTTTTTCGTAACGAATCGGATAAATTAGTGACGACTTTTTATGGTCACTAGTTGGATAAGCTAGTGACGACTTTCTATGGTCACAAATCAGATGAGAGTGACAACTTTTTATGGTCACTGATTAAATAAACCAGTGACGACTTTCTATTATATTAGTGACAACATTTAATGACGAAACCCGTCGTCATAGATTTAGTGACCATTATATTTTGGTCACTATTTAGTGACCACTTTTATATTTTGGTCACTAATCAGTTTTTGTGACGGACCTATAGTGACCACAAGTGACGACCAAAAGTTTGGTCACTAAATGATATAGTGACGACTCCTTCAATTGTTAGTGACCATTTCGTTTTCGTCACTAATTGGCATTTTGTTTTTGTAGTGTTTGTTCCATATCCTTGACTTTTTAGAGTATACACATCATCATTTTTCATGCAAACTTTTTCAAAAAATATTCTACAATGTATTAAATTCTACAAAATTTAATAAAATATATAATTAAGAATTAAGAAAAATGTTTTATTTTTCCCATCAAAGAGTTTGATGACAATAGGACTTCATATCTATTCAACATCAATGTGAGACAATAATAAAGTCTAATCCATCTAAATATCAATTAAACATAATCCATCTCAATGTCAACATGTCATCTGAATTAACTTTCTCATTATTCTATACATTGTGTATGTTTTTATTTCATTTTATTTTTGTTTTTCTGTGTGCTATTCTTACTTTCTTTTTATATTATTTGTGTTGTTAGAATGACAATGTTAACCGTTAGTTTTTGACCTAATTAGCATCCCTATCCCTCTCTCGACTATAATTAGAATATAAATGGTTATTTTAATTTCTTGATTATGGTAATTTTTTTCTAATAATGCATCTACTCTCCACTGCAAATAAAACAAAGAAATTTATCTAATTTGGTGTTTCATTATAAGGTGCTTTTGATGTGCTTTTGACTTATATATTGCAATTTTTTTTTATGAATTCAATATAATGATCATTTCACAATAGTATATATTGTAATATCATTAGGATTTGCCTATTTAAAACTAAACTAATTGACCCGGAGTAGATAAAGACGTAATCAACCGTGTCCAGATTTAATTAATCACATGATGAAAGTTATATAAAAGTATCAAAGTTAAAAAAATTATAAACGAAGTTTAAAACGTTGTATTAGAAACTTATAAGAAAAAAATATCTTAAAAATATTGTAATAAATTGTAAAAATTCTTAAAAGAATTGTAGAAAGAAAGTTATTCACACTTTAAGCAACTTTTTCTTTATGTACACAATTAACCATTTAATTTGTTATATGTATTTACATGTTATCATTGTCATCTGAGATAGCATGTGACAATGGTAGTATGTAACACATTTAATTTAACAAGTTAAATGATCAAATGTGTACATGAAAAATGTAACATCCTAAAATTTCTAGATAAAAATTTTCATTTCAAACATCTAATAGTCATGACAAAATAATAAAAAGTGTATCATATTGAAAATTAATTTAGAGTACAAATCCCAGAATTCAAGTAATTGCGGAAAAACATGGGTAGATGCGGTGCGATCAAACCAGACCATTCCCTTTCGAGTTGGAGGTACCTGAAACATAAACTGAAAACTGTAAGTACAAATCTGACTGAAATCCCCCAAAATACCCCATAACATACATACATAACAGTCAAAGCATAACTGAGTCTATTTCAACCCCTGCGGTCTCTTTCAACCAATATTGAGTATGTTTTAACCCATTCGGCCTCTTTCAACCGGTACTAGGTATATTTCAACCACATCGGTCTCTTTCAACCGGTACTGGGTATCTTCCAACCCCTTCGGTCTCTTTCAACCCGTATTGGGTCTATTTCACCCCTACAACTAGCATATAATAATAACAATAAGAGTCACAGAAACATCAAGCATATACATGCATAACATGTAATTGTCACGAAGATAATCATCATCCTACAAACATAATCTAGTGGGCCGGCATTGGTGCCTTCGACCAACTGATATAGTGAAGGAACCTCACCTCAGACTGAAGATATCAAATCACACTCGAGTTGCTGACTCGTGAAATCCTCTCACTAAATCACAAGTAATAAAACCCTAATTAGAAATTAGGTCAATAACCCAACCCGATAGTCCAAACCCTAAATCTCGGCTTTAAGGGAAAATGGTTGCCTTTCCCTCCCCTTATTGCGCATATCTTACCAAGGCCCAAATCCAAACTAGCCTAAAAGTCCAAAAAAACATTCCAAGTCCAATATGTGCCCAAATCCATAAAGGCCCAACTCAGAATAACTTGTGGTCCAACAAGGGCCCAAAACCCTAAAGCCCAAGATGACCCGAAACTAAAAGCCCAAAACCCCCCTTATGTGAGTACGCTAAGCATACCGCCCGACGTACTTGGAGGCTTCACTGGATGGGGACCCTAGGTGCGTAAGCTCAGTGTACAACTGTAAACGCCCTAGATGGACAAATACCCTTTTTAAGGTCTTAACCAGTTAAGACCTAACGTCCAAATTCAGATCTAGCCTCGTTAAGACGTCCTAAACAATAAAGTTGGAAACTTTAACCCCTTGCATGTCTTAATTGGTCTCAAGTCATGGATTTAACACTCTAATTCCATTAAGTGGTCATTAACTCATGCACGGTTGATCTACAACCACCAAGATACAAGCTTTATGGTTCACTGGACCTCAAAACAACAAAATGGACATCTCATAACATCAGGACTAGCATTTACTCATAAGAGTTCATCCATTGGACCAAAATATGCTAAATTCTTCCCCAAAGATAAATCTAGCCATAGAACGAACAAGTTTCAAACTTTATACCTCGAAGGAAGCCACCTGACCGACTATGCGCTCACTCTTCCGGTGCTCTTCCTTCATAGCCTCAACATGAGCTTCTCAAATCTGCTCTAATAGTGGGGTAATCATTGTCATGCTCAAACATAAATGCCTAATCGGAGCTGTGACCGCCTTGCGGCTGAGAGCATCGGCCACCACGTTGGCCTTCCCCGGGTGATAAGGAATCTCACAATTGTAATCCTTTACCACATCCAACCACCTACGCTACATCATGTTCAGATTCGACTGATTTATAAAATACCCCACGCTCTTGTGATCCGTATAGATAGTACAGTGGACCCCATAGAGGTAATGTCGCCAAATCTAGAGGGTAAACACCACCGCCCCTAACTCCAAATCGTGCGTAGGGTAATTCACCTCATGAGGCTTCAACTGCCTCGAGGCGTAAGCAATCACATGACCTCGTTGCATCAAAATTGCACCCAAGCCTGTGATCGAAGCATCGCAATATACCACAAAGTCCTCAACACCCTCTGGCAGGGTAAGAATCGGTGCCTCACATAATCTCTATCTTAGAGTCTCAAAGGTTGCCTGCTGCTTAACCCCCCAACAAAACGTGACAGTCTTCTTCGTCAACCGAGTCAAAGGAACCACTATCTTGGAGAAATCTCTAATTAATCTACAATAGTAACCTTCCAATCCAAGGAAAATTTGAATCTCAGATGGAGACCTAAAAACCTCCCACCTCATCGCCGCCTCGACCTTGGCCGGATCGACCAGAATGCCGCTTTGGTTGACAAGGTGCCCCAGAAACTGCACCTTGTGCAACCAGAACTCACACTTGGAGAACCTTGCATACAACCTCTCCCCCTCAGAGTCTCCAATACCTCCCTAAGATGCTCCTCATGCTGCTCCTTAGTCTTGGAATAGACCAGGATGTCATCAATAAACACAATCACAAACTGATCCAACATGGGCCTGCATACGCGATTCATGAGATCCATGAATGTGGTTGGAGCATTGGTGAGCACGAAAGGCATCACCACTAACTCGTAATGACCATAGAGAGTCTGGAAGGCCGTCTTCTGTATGTCCTCCTCTTTGAACCTCAACTGGTGATAACCCGAATGCAAATCAATCTTGGAAACCCAAGATGTACCCTGCAGCTGATCAAATAAATCGTCGATCCTTGAAAGCGGGTAATGGTTCTTCACCGTTAGCTTATTCAGCTCCCAATAGTCAATACACATCCGATGCGTCCCATCCTTTTTCTTCACAAATAAAATCGATGCTCCTGATGGTGAACTACTCAGCCGAATAAATACCTTTTCTAGCAGCTCCTGCAGGTGCGTAGACAACTCCTGCATCTCTGGAGGTGCTAATCGATAAGGTGCTTTGGCTATCGGAGCCGCACCTAGAACCAAGTCAATCCGAAACTCCACATGTCTCTCCAGAGGCATTCCTAGAAAGTCCTCCGGGAACACATCCGGGTATTCCCAAACAATCGGTACATCATCTATGGTCATCTCAAACTTCTCCCGGGTATCCATCACATAGGACGCAAACCCAGAACATCCCTGCTGAAAATAACGCCTGGCTCTTGCTTCCAAACATAGAGTCGACCCACGCTGAGCACCCTCATAGCAGATCACCAATTCTCCCCGACTTGGGGTCCGAAAACGTACCAACTAAAGCCCACAATCAATCATCGACCCATTAGGGCTCAACCAATCCATCTCCACAATGACCTTGATCTCGCACAGGGGAATCGGAACCAAATCAATCGGATACTGCTCACTGAATAAATCCAAAGTGCATCCCCGATGAACCCTCGACACTCGTACCGGACGGTCATCCGTGTTGGGGTGCAAAGTTATCCATATATGAATTTGTAATGGTTTGAATCATGTAGACCCACTTGCATTTGGTAGAGTAGCCTTGTGACATGAGAGATAGAGAGAGAGTGACATGTAAACACCTCTATATAAAGTGGGTTTCATACTACTTGTAGAGGTGTGCTTGAGAGATGTAACATTGAGAGTGTTAGAGTGAGCTATTTATTTGTCTAGATCTAGCTTATACTTTTTTT